AATTCGAGGTTTTACCTCTTCTTCGAATCATGAGCTTATTTCGGGAGAAATGACACTTCGTGCCTCCAAGCATGGGAAGAAAAAGCGTAATTAATTTCGATTTGAAAAATATCTTCCATAGTGTATACAACCTAAAGAATCGTTCATAAACTACTCGTCCTACTATAAAATCTAACAATGTCAGCTATCGCAACTAAAATCGTTGAAAATTACAATCTTAGCCCCAAGATAAGTCTATCTGAACTTAGTCAATACACCTCGGAGTTTCTCAAAAATCTTACAAATGATAGAAAAAGGAATCAGGCATGAAGACGTCTTCGGGATGGCTTTAAATTTAGCAGTGAACAGGTGAGTATATTGATACCCAACCAGAGAAGTGGTAAAACTAAAACTATAAATCTTGCAACTTCCGATAGATATCAAGATCCTATTTCAATCCCGCAAGGATTAAAGGAAGAAACTATCGGAGAGATGGCGCATCGATTTTTACAAAACAAGCTTAGTATGAGGGATATAAGAGCTGAACTTATGCCTTAGCCTTATCGGCATTAAATGCTAATGCTGGTTCTTCTCGGTTATCACGACTCAGAAGAGAATTAAGAAATCTTGGTGCTTCATTCCAGATAATCGAAGCCACAAAATTCCCCGATATTACAAAAGATGCTAACGAAATTCAGAAGAATCGACGAATATTTGTTGAGGAGTTTGAGAGAATTGATTATCCAGACCACTTTACGTTAGAATCGGTCAAAGAAAGATTGAACAGTTATGATACATCTACTTTGCCCGACTTACAAGCTCTCGCAGATGTTATGATAATGCTTTGTATCCGCCCTGCTGAACTTATATCTTTACGCATTACAGATGCTGGAGTGATAGGCTATGCAAAGAACCGAAGTCAGATGGATACTCCTCGAAAATTAAGATCTATGGAGAAAAATCAAGAACGAGCCAAAGAATTACTAAACTGGATACAAAATGCTATATCTTCTGGTCGAATAGGTGATCCAGGTAAGCCAGGGGTTAAATGGTTCAATAGATTCTTAAAAGACTATGATTTAATTCCTCGCCATTTACATAAAATAGGGGCTGTATATGCTGTGGTGGTACATGGGGCAAAGAATTTAGCTCATGCTATGACAATTGCCGGAGAAGCCTTACGTCACAATCCTGACAATAACACCTCACCAGCACAAAATTACATTATTGTCAATTATCGAAGAAAGAATCAACTACCTGAAGAAGCGAGACCATTTCGATTCTATGATAATGTTAACTAATCACGCTTCTTTGCTTCGAAAACTTGTGTATGTATTTCATTCTCGTCGATGCTAGAATATCTGAAAATGCACATCGTGGATTACAAATAATTTTATTTAGTAGTGGAGAATGGGTAATTATTTACTGAGTTATTTTTTCGGTTATAATATATATCATTAAATAATATCGCAGAAAGCATGTTATTCTGGCTATAGAATAGAGTGGGTAATCAGGTATTTGACAGCCTCCAGCTAATTTTAAACAAAGAATTTTTATTTGCTGTACTGTATATATATCTGTGATAATTTTCCTTGTTCTACTTTTGATTCTAGACATGGGCACTGATTGTCGCTAGCCGATTTTTTAACAAAAATCTCATGCAATTGTTGAAGAGAGACATTCGGAAATAATGGTAGTCCCTCACCAGTAAACCAAATTTTCTTTACCCCACTATCAATGAATTTCTGTATTAACACACTTGGAACATTTTCTAAGGGACCATGAAATTCTTCAAACTTTCGGAGGTACACTCTCGCATTTTTATCGGCTTCTTCTGCTATTTCTTGATTAGTGTAACCGACGATATCAAGTTCTTCCTGAATTGTCGCTATATCATCTTCTAAGCATAAAAGCAAATCAAATAATCTAATTGGTTTATCTGAAGAGGCTTTATTCCTTCTAAGTTCTGCTTCTAAAATGGGATTGATATCTATACCAAGTTTCATCTGTATAGGTATTAAATTCCCCACCAATTTTAACAACAATTCATATGAATCAGCCAGTGTTTTTCCATCGGGCTCGTGTTTTATTTGCTTTAATGTATTACTATTAATACCAAGTTTTTCTTGAACTGCTATTATATCCTTCTTCTTATATAAAAGCACTTCATATAAAGGGGCACATGTTTCGCTTTGATCAGTTTTATTATTAGTATTACTCGTCATGATTGTTATAATATGGTAATATAATTAATGCGGAAAATAACGCATAAATTTATAAATTAAGTGAATATAGCAAATTCAATCTGAAAATAATTATAACCACGAAATTATTGGAGCATAATCTTTTTTTAGCCGAATGTTGGCTTACGTCGATTATAAAGTGGATGGAATTGTATAATACCCACCTATATCTAAATCTGGATTCAGCGTATCTAATGCCTCTTCGCCAATATTTACGCAATATTTTAAACCAAGATATTTTAGATCGGATAAATTATGTGCAATATCTCTGATGGCTATATCGGTTATAAGCTCACAAAATCCTAATTCAAGATCTCGAATCTTAGGACACATTTTTGCCAATTTAGAAATAGACCTATCAGTAATGGATTCTGATCCGTAAATATTGAGATACTCCATATTGCGACATGATTGTGCTATTGCTTCTACCGCTATATTGGTGACATGACAAAATTCGAGGTTGAAATGAGAAATGTTTGGACATGATCGCGCAATAATACATATCGTTTCATCACTAAGAAATTCAAGAGATTTAAGTGCAAGGTGTTCCAGATTACGACATTGTACAGTTTGTCTGATGCCTATATCAGTTACTTTATTACAATCGCTAAGATCTAATTTTCTTAGATCCGGGTACGAACTTACAAGAGCATGGATTGTGGTATCGGTAAGCTTCTTGCAGTAATTAAGATTTAAAGATTGGATATTAGGAATGAATCGTGTAATTTCGTGTATAGATTTATTAGAAATACAATTTTTACCTCCGTTTATCCCTAGATGCCTTAAGCGGTAGCACGATCTCGTAATTTCATAGATAGACTTATCAGTAATATTTCCACTCCAACTAATTTCCAAATACTGTAATTTAGGACATCTACTTGCGAGTTCAATAATAGAATGGTCAGTTAACCCCCCGTTGTTAAAAACATTAAGATGAATTAAGTTAGGATATGCTTGAGAAATCTTGAATAATGCTATATCATTGTATCCATAACTTCGTTTAAAATCAAGATGAGTTATATTTGGAAATATTTCGACGAATTTTTCAATTACCTTATTTGAGAGTTTATCGTAGTGTGAAATTTTGAGATAACGTACACTTGAGCCATAAATCAGTCTTGAATTTTTGCGTACTATCTTTATAAACTTTTTTAATTGTATTTTATATTCCTCTCCAAAGGCATTCCCACCTCCTATCAATTCGATGTGACGCCATAAAATTGGGCCGGAACACATAGACCAGAGTCTAGAAACTAACAAGGCGGGATATAATGCCTTATCTTCAGCTAAAAATTTAAAAATTTTCGTTAATAGTTCAGGTAATGCAAGTGCCATAGTAAATAATGCGAAATGTACAAATTAAGTGAATATAGCAAATAAATAAAAATTCAATCTGACAATAATTATAACCACATCGTAACTGCGAAATTACACCACGTTATAATGGGTTTAAGGGAAGCGATGTCATGTGTTTTATTTCAAAGAAATGGCTCTTCGAGCCTAAATCCACGAATCGGAGATCAGCATAGAAGTATTTCGGTACTAACCAACTCACTAACCGCACCTATTGCAGAGCAATGACCCTTTTGGTCTACCCTTAAGCATAATTTTTTATCCATGATTGCTAGCAAAGATCGAGCGATCCCCCATACTAATAATTCGTGAATGAACGGATCGCCAAATCCGAAATTAGTTTAATAAAATCTGCAAATTAGGTTTGTTAGTCGTGAGGGTGTTTAATGTATAAAAATGAGCTAAGTATAAAGAAAATTGCAAATACTTATCTATCTATAACGTATACTAATT